AGACAAAAGCAGAAGATGTTGACCCACCCACTTTGAGGGAGCATTGATGTGAGGGAGCATTGGATTCAAACCAATGGACTTCATTATAAATAGACCACTTTCATTCTTTGAAGTTCTCACATTGCACACTCCTAAATCTCTGAAGTTATTTGCATTATTTCTTCTTCTTACCTTTAGTCTTCTTTGTGTTCCACACTCCTAAAATGGGTGTAGTGTCTACTATTGTCCACTATGATGGTTTCATGAACCCATGTCCCATGGAGGGAATTACCTTCAATACTGGGACTGCAAAACTTGTTCCTTTAAAGAGAGGAATTTCTCTACAAAGGTTGAAGAAGTTGATCCACAAGAAATTGGAGAAAGAACCCCACGAAAATGTAGCAACCATCCATTTTCGCTGTCCAACTAGACTCGGAGTTGGGATCAACAACTTCATTGTTGTTGAGTTGAAAGATGATGACGACGTGGAGGCCATGTTCGATGTTCATGATTCAAACTCAAGTCTATGTGGTATTGAAATTTTTGTTTCATTTAAAACTTCTTCTTCTTCATACCCCAACACACACTCACCAGAAATTTCACCCTTACCCTACCAAGCTTTCCCAAACACTGACCCAGAAATACCCACACATAATGACTATATCCCTTTTACCCAACTTCTAAGTGGGTCTTCCACCAACATCAACGAAGAACTACCCACACAAGAGAACAAAATTGTTGGCCTCCCAATTGAAGTCGTTGATCCTTTTAATGAGGATGAAGATGAAGATGAAATTCTCAGCCAACACCAAGATGATTCAGAGGACGAACAACCACATATCCCTACACATGCACCAAACTTCATGGAACCATACAACCCACCACAACATTTTCTTAACTTTGAAAATCACATTCAACAACAAGACCCAGAGTATGGTCATGCGTTGGACAGAGAGTCTTTTGTTTCTCCAGCAGGAACTCTATTTCTTGGACAACGTTTCATAACAAAAGAACAAGTTCAAGATGTCATCAACCGCTTTCACATTGTCAATCACTGCACATACAAGGTGAAAATTTCAAACCAAAGTAGATATGTTGTTGAATGTGTTGATAACCAATGCAATTGGAGATGTCGAGCAATATTGCGCACAAGAGAGCAATATTGGGAGATTATGAAGCTTGAAGGGCACCATACATGCGTTTCGCCATTAATCAGCCAAGACCACAACAAGTTGGGATATAAAATGATTTCCCAAACAATTGGTCAAATAATTGATGTTGATTCGTCAACACCAATCTCCACAATCATAGCCCACATCCAATTAATAACGGGTTACACTATAACATACAGGAAGGCCTGGTTGGCCAAACAAAAGGCAGTGGAGATCATCTACGGCAATTGGGAGGATTCGTATAAGAAGTTGCCTTGTTTGTTACAAGCGATGCAACAATTTGTTCTCGGATTCATCTACAAACTGCAATCACAACCAGCTTACCAAGGTGAAGTCCTTCAACAAAATTCAAATATTTTTAAACGTGTGTTTTGGTCGTTTAGGTCATGCATAGATGAATTTGTTCACTGCAAGCCCATTGTTCAAGTGGACGAAACTTTTTTGTATGGAAAATATAGAGGTACCTTGTTGGTTGCAGTAGCACAAGATGGCCGCAACAACATCCTCCCCATTGCGTTTGCAGTGGTTGAAGGTGAAACAAGTGATGTCTGTTTTTTTTTTCTTAAAAAACCTTCAAAGATATGTCACACCCCAGCAAGGATTATGCCTCATATCAGACCGACATGAATCCATTAGAAGTGCATACATGAGAAATGGAAGCGGATGGACAGAAAATAATTCAATGCATGTCTACTGCATTAGACACATTGCACAGAATTTTATGAGACATTTCAAAAACACCGCACTGAGGAAAGATGTTGTAAATATGGGTAATTCCTTTGCTTCAAATTTGTTACAATTTATTCATTATTTAATTTTTGCTAATAAACCTTTATATTAACTATGTTAGTTGTAATATTGTTGTAGCGTATGGGATGACTGAACCACGATTCTACTATTATTACAACATCTTGAGGCAATGTGACATAAAAGCAACTAATTGGTTGGATGAGATACCTAGAGAAAAATGGACACTTGCATGGGACAATGGACGACGTTGGAGCCACATGACGACCAACATAGCAGAATCTATCAGAACTGAGATGGACATTACAGAAAATCAAAGTAGGATTAAAAAATGTTCATATTGTCATACCCCTGGTCATAGCAGAAGAACATGTCCCAATGTTGCATGTGCATCTACTTCGCATCATTAGATTGTGTTAGTTAAGAAATGTCTCAATGTATGAATCTTAGGAGTTTTTCAATTAATTGAAAGTGACGAAGATCTTATTGAATCATTTGATAAAACGAAGATCTTGTAGGTTTGATGAAGTCAAAGGTTATTTAAGGAACTTTTTGCTAACTATTTTAATCGATTAAAACTTGTTGTTATCAATTAAAATAACTTAGAAAGTTTTGTGAAAAGTTTTGAAGAAACTCATTCTGCAGGAGCTGCATAATTCTGCAGGAGCTGCATAATCAGGTGAAGAAACTGCGCTTAAGCGGAAAACACATTAGATAGTGGTTCTAGAACTAACCGCTATTAAACGTACATTTTAGATAGCGGTTAACGTGAAACCGCTATTATATGTTCACTTATAAGAGCGGTTAAAATATTAACCGCTCTTAAAAGTGACACATATATGATATTAAAAGTGACACATATATGATAACGGTTCCACTTTAACCGCTCTTAAAAGTGAACATATAATAGTGTTTCCATGTTAACCGTTATCTAAAATGTACTTTTAATAGCGGTTAGGTCTAGAACCGTTATCTAATGTGTTTTCCGCTTGAGCGAGAGAGAAATAATCGATTGTATATTCGATTATTTTAAAATTATAATCAATTAGTTCAAAACATAATCGATTATAAATTTCATCGCTCAAGCGATGGATGTCTTGCTTGAGCGAGAATTGACCACGGTCCAACGCAGTTACCCAATCAATTCTCGCTCGAGCGAAGTAATTCATCGCTTGAGCGATAATTGACCACTGGCTAAACGTCCAACGCAGTTAGCCAGATAACGCAACTTTGGTCACCACATATTTTAATCACTTCTCGCTCAAGCGAAAATACCCGTCGATTGAGCGAGAATTGACCGAATATTACCCTTTGTTACAAATTTCCTCGCTCAAGCGAACTGTTTCTTCGCTTGAGCGAGAATTGACCCGAGATTACCCCTTTGTTACAGATTTCCTCGCTCAAGCGAAGGGTTTCTTCGCTTGAGCAAGAATTGATTGCGCGAAATAATCGATCATAATATTAAATAATCGATTATTTTAATACGTGAACAGTAAACAGTGCTAGTTGTGTAAATAATGTTCCGGATGTGCTATTTTGAAAAATATTTTTAAAAATAGTATTATTTATGAAAAAAGTCGCGAAATAATCGATCATAATATTAAATAATCGATTATTTTAATACGTGAACGATGACATGATGCTTAGTTGTGTAAATAATGTTTCATATGTGCTATTTTGGAAAATATTTTTAAAAGAGTATTATTTATGAAAAAAAGTCTTAGTTTGGATTTTATGAAGAAAAGTGACAGAAATGAAAAAAGATTGGAAAAAAAAAGTAAAATTGATTGGATGAGAAAAAAAAACGAAAAAAATAATAAAATTATTTATTTATTATTTTTCAATTATTATAATAAAATTTATTAAAAAATTATAATATATTTTATCTTTCGAAAAATATACAACCGGTTATATAAATTAATAAAATATTAACTTTCATAATTTATAATTTTTTAAATATTTTTAATAATACTTTTTTATTATAAGTATTCACAATAACTTAGCTCTAGAACTAATTCTTATAAATAACCTATCTTCATTTTAAATGAGATTTTTATAAATAAAATATTTTTATTTTACTTGAGACCTAATTCATAATGAATTGTTATATATATATATATATATATATATATATATATATATATATATATATATATATATAATATATATATATATATATATATATTAATTTTTTTTACTTACATTTCACTTAAAGTAATTTAACTATTATAAATATTAATTTAATATAATATTTTAACTTGAAATTATGGTAAATTTATAGGTTTTAAATCTTTTTTTATAAAACTAATTTCTTTTAAAATAAAAGTATAAAATCAAAATTAAAATCAAACTAATTTTATATAAATAAAAAAAATATTTAAACAAGAATCATATATCATTATTATATATTTCTATTCTTGTTTAGAATTATTGTCAAACAGTTCTTAAATTTATTTGTTTATAAGAAATGTTTAAGAAAATAAGTGTGTGAGATAATATTTTTTATTTGTTTTTCATTTTTCTTTTTAAGAAAAAAAATGTCTTTCTTTTTGTGTCTGCAACTTTCCAAACTCATATTTAACTTAAAATTAGTTACATGGATTGGATTTCTACATTAAATCTTTTTACTTTTTTAATCCGATTTTAAATCTACGTTGGTTAAAATTCGTTTTAAATTAGTTGAAATATTTATGAAGCCGAGTCATTTGCCAAAAATGTAAAACAGTTTTTGGTATAAATGAACTCAACCAATCATATGGTTAAAAAAAAACAGTAATAGAGTAAAAAAATATTGTACTTTCATTTAAAACAGAACAATAAATAATATTGTGTTATTGAATTATCATTTTTTCATTCCTAAATTATTTTAATTTCGTTTTCTTAATTACTTTAGTATAGTTTTATTTTTATTTGTTTAGAAGAAGAAAATACAACACTTATTATGTTTGATTATAATGAGATTCGGCCCGAAGTCCATAACCATATTTAATGGCCCAAATAAAAAAGTCAAACCTCTTATGTTTCAACTCTGACCAACCAAACCCTACTTCTTCTTAATTCTTCTCATCTCACTATCCATAAACCCTAAACCTAGCTTCGCGCATGGCTTCCGAGAACATAAATCCCGACACAGTCTCCAAAGCCGTCGACGCGCTCCTCAAATGGCGTCGTTCCCAATCGGAGACTCAGAAGCCGAAACTCTTCGACCAAGACGAAGAATTCGTGTACCTCATCTTAACGCTGAAGAAGGTTCCGGCGAAATCGCGCTTTAATCCTCACAAGATCCCTCTCCCTCACTCCCTCCTCTCGCCGTTCTCCGAACAATGCTTTATCCTCGACGACCGGGCCAACAAGGCGCGCGTCACCAAGGCCCAGGCCCAGACCAAGATCCAATCCGAGTCCATCCCCATCGCCAAAATCCTCAAACTCTCTAAACTTGCCTCCGATTATCGCCCTTTTGAGGCGAAGCGGAAGCTCTGTGATTCCTACGATATGTTTTTTGTAGAGAAGAGTATTGTGCCGTTGCTTCCGCGGCTACTCGGGAAGCAGTTTTTCAAGAAGAGGAAGGTGCCGGTGCCGGTGGATCTCAAGAAGAATAACTGGAAGGAGCAGGTGGAGAGGGCGTGCTCGTCCGCGATGCTGTTCATGCGGACCGGGACGTGTAGCGTGGTTAGGGTTGCAAAGGTGGGGATGGAGAGGGACGCGATTGTTGAGAATGTGGTAGCGGCTATTGAGGGGACTGTGGAGATTGTGCCGAAGAAGTGGTCGAATGTGCGGTCGTTGCATTTGAAGCTGTTGGAGAGTGTCGCGTTGCCGGTGTATTAGGTGGTCCCGGATGTGAAGTTGCGGATTGAGGGTGTGAAGGAGGAGGCTGAGATAAAGGAGAAGAATAAGAAGAAGAAGAAAAAGGATGGTGAAGTTCGCGAAACGGCGAAGAAGGGCAGGATTCATGAAGTTAAGTATATGGATGAGAATGGTGGTGAGGATGAGATTGAAGATGAATTGACGAGTGATGGTGGTGGTGGTGATGAGAAGAGGAAGAGGGGGGTTTCGAGTGTGTTGAGTAGTGGTAAGAGGTTGAAGAAATCGTCTGGTGTCAAGGAGAAGAAGGAAAAGGGGAAGAGTAGAAGTGAATTGGTTGTTAAGAATGAAGAGTCTAGTGCCAAGGCGAAGAAAAAGGTGAAGAGTGGAAGTGAATTGGTAGTTAAGGACGAGGAATCTGGTGTAAAGAAGACGAAGAAAGGGGATTTGAAGAAGATGAAGATGGGGGATGTGAAGGTGAAGGCTTTGAAAAGTTTGAAGGCCAAGAAAAGTAGGAAGGCTTTGTGAGTTGGATGATGTTGCCTATTGGTGATTGATGTACGAAATTGCTGCTTGTTGTGGCTCTGTGCAAGCCTGTGGGGTTTTGCTTGTTGAGTCCTCAGGTGCATTTTTGTTTTTGACTATGTATTAGGGCGTTTGCGTTTTCTGTTGGTTCATTTTGTTATTTTGCTTAATTAAAATATCTATAGTTGAGGTTTAGAATGATTGCTAAATGGGGTAAAGTCAAAATATTGAATCCCGGCGAGTTTACTATACTTGAATTATTTATATATTGCATGTTGTCGGAGATCGATTTAGAAAATGAAGTTATTTAGATATTGAAGTTTTTGGCTTCGCTACAAGTGAAAGTATCAAGGAAATGACAGGAGAATGCTTAGAACAAATTCTCCTGTTTTTGCTGTTTTTCTCGTGTATTCTAGATTTTTACCTTAAATCTTGCTTTGTTTTTCTGTATTAGATATCCATTATCTGCAACATTTGTATCGATATTCTGCGTGTTAAATTTCAGTTTTTCAACATGAGTGCTAAGATTAATGGAAAATGTCTATTCTAAAATTGTGTCAAGTTTCAGTTTTTCAACTTGAGTGCTAAGATTGATGCAAAATGTCTAGTCTGAAACTATCTATTTAGCTGTGCTTGAGACATCCCTAATTAACAGCTATTGAGTTTTATCATCTGTAATGGCCGGTAGCTATCCAGAAATTATCTTAAACATGCTGGTAGACATGTTGAGTATATATTATTTTTAATATTTTTCAGCACTACTAGAATATATGCAACTCAACTGGTTATATTGTTGTTGTCTTTCTTTTGTTGGGTTATGGACTATGGAGTGTTGGACTGATTACTTGCTGAAATTCTTATTATTCTAAAATGTATACTTATATTAGAAGTATTTTCTAACAATATCTGCCGAAAATTGTAATGTCATGTGGTGGATGAATATGTATAATATTTTGAAAAACCGATAGTTTTGGCCCTAATAATTCCTATATAGTTTATGATGTTATTTGTGTTGAGAGTGTCTTTTTACTCTATTATTCATGAACCCACGTTCAAACTTTTTTCTTCTTGCTAGTATCTTGTTCTTTTTAAATCCACATCCTTGGTAATCTGTGTCCAACTTCACTACAGTGCTAGTAGATTTGTCTAAAATTTTAATCTCATACAAAACTTTTAGAAAGTCACTTGTTAGACGGACTCTATTCCTGTTTAAAGTTGATAGAAATTTGTAATTTAATTAGAATCCTATATGTTATTCCCAGAAAAGTCAAAGAATTAGGGATCACATCTTGTGGTATAGTCAGAAACATACATAAAAATTGTGACCTTTTGCACTAAGTTAGGTTGGACATAGAATTGGGTTCTTTACTTTGTCATAATTTGAGTTCTACAAGTTAGCTAAAAGTTGCTAATAGTTTTTCTTCTTTATTTTTCCTTTTCAGGACTAAAAAATAAAATTAATACAAATTCTGAGGTAACAACATTGGCAGGCAAACAATTGGCTTTTAATTTGATGTTATTGAATGTTTTGTGTAACTTTCCCAAAAGTTTCTAAAATAAGCATGTCCTTTTTTCTTTAAGCCAAGGAAGTATATTGTTACCTTCACTCTCTTTTGATACTCATCTGCTGGAAGCAAAAAGTTCAACACTTAAAATGGTTCCTTAATTATTAAGTTCTTGTGATATTTTGCACCCTTAAAAGTTCAACACTAGCTCGTTTAATCTGAAACATTAAATGCAAGTAATTTAGAGATGCAGCGGAATCAGAGTTGTTGAGTGCATTCTTTTCTACTAATGGTGGTATCTTTTGACTGTTATCAAACTAATATAGCACAATGGACCGCTCTTGAAAGGGATAAATACTTTACCTAAATATCACAAAGTTAGAATGAGATATTTCATGACTAAGTGGAGCTATCAGCAATTTGTCATGTAATAATGAGGAAGAGATTATATATTCAATAACTATTTCTAAGTAAAATACAAAAAGACGTGAACGAGTGGCTTAGAACATTTTGTTTATTCTGGTAGGGCTGCTATGTGCCACCGGGTATATTCCGTTGATGACAATTTGAAATGGATAGATTCACAGGTGGCTAATATTATTGCAACCATATCCTGTACATACCAGAGGATTAATGACAATTTGAATTGACAGAAAGAAATTCAGTGGAATGGTACGCACTACAATGAAATAAATTTTCATTTTATTGTTTGAGATGACAGAATAGTACAAAATTATCATTTCATCTCATTTTTCTTAGATAAAGAAAAATGAAATAAGATATTGGTTTAATTATTTTCTTTTCTATTATGTATCATTTTCATTTTATCAACATAAAAAATGAAATGACATTATTATATTCAATTTTTGTTCATTCTATCCAGTAATCCTATACAATTTGACCAGTTCTTCCTTGTTCAATTCAAGTTCACCCATCGTATCCAACAGTTGTCTCATCAATTCCTTATCAACATGCTGCAAAGCCAGTCAAAATTGTTCGTGTGTGCTGCGCGTGTAGATTGGCCACGTCAATTCTTGTTCAAGTGATCCATCCAAATTAAGAGAGATTAATGTTAAACCCCATTCGGTTTCTCTATCAAAAGCCGTATTTGCAGGGTGTGATAAATGGTTTTTTTTTATTTTTTTATTTTTATTTGGCAATAGTGGTTGTAATGTTGGAAAGGCAATTCTGAAGACCAAGAGTGATGGTGACGAGTGTTTTGGTATTGCACTTAGTTTAAAGTTTAAACGCCTACCATTGATGAACTAACCCTTTTGTTCCCTTTCAAATTGTGGGCGGCTTCGTCACAGATGGCACTGCCACAAACCAAGCCACGTGCTTCAAACTTGTCGTTTTAGTCTTGTGCGCAATGTTTTTCCTTTCATTTCGATGGGGATTCCAAGCAAAATGACATGAAAGGTTACCATCAACAAAAAGAAGAATGACCGAAACTACAGTGCTTACGAGATGATATGCACATCAACACCAGAGAGCCTCCTTAGTGGTTTCAGATAGGCACAACATCACTCTCATCAATTAGTCAAATTTTTATCATGTAGGTTTGAATGGAAAGTAACCGTATTTGCATGTTATGGACAATGGATTTAGTTTTTTTGGTGCACCAAGTGAATTAGACTTTCCAAACACTAGGCATAAATAAATATAAATAAAGCGATTGGATTTGGATGCATGACCATGTTCTTATCATTTCCCAGATGGATGTGCACTGATGTTCTCCAAAATTTGAATTTTACATCATGTCATAACTTGAGTTTAAAAACTCTTTTATGTGCTTTTAGTACTGATCTTTCATCAGAACTAGAGTTTTAATACAAACATTTATTATGTAAACTATCAGTGTTAGTTGCAAACTTACAGTCTAATACTTTAAACTCAAATATTAAGTCAGTCCAAAATCACAATTACAGAACTAATAACAGAATCATTTAATATGCAGTTGTGTGTAATGAATCACACCCCAATTCAAAGCAAATTACCTTTTACTGCATCAAAACATTCGTCACTTTAACAAGTAAACATTATATATCATTATTCTAGTGAGATTATTATTCATTTGGGTGTTGAAATGTCTTGCAGGTATGTTTGAGTAATCATTCTTAGGAGTCCAATTCAATACCGACTATCCACATCAAACGCGTAAGCAGTCCACCTTAGGATCACTGGTACTCATCCTTAGACACACATAAATGTAAAACTTACTATTACTAAAATACCCAAGAAATAGCATATTAAAATTATTCTCAATATCATTCATGGTTGGCTACACAAATACTGCATTGACTCATCATTACTTTGAAATCAAATCATTATTATTATGATTTATGGGAGTGTAGTTTGCCTCACACTGTTGCCTCTCTGTCACAGTCCAGAATCTAGACCTTGCTTAAACCAAGATTCTTTTGGCCCAAAAGCACCAAACTGTGTATTGGATGCCAGTTTATGATTGGCCAACAACACTCTTTATACATTTTAACTTTGTTCAGAGATTGACCTCAGTCACGATACATTGAAACCAGACTCGTTTTGAACAAGGATTGGCTCAAATTAACTCACATACCCCCACTTCTGTTCTTCATATTAACATGGAAAATCAACCCATTTTATCATTAGATTATTGGATATTGGCAAGTATGATTTGGGCTAGCTAAGATTCTCCACGATTCCCAAGCAATAATATCCAAGTGCACAAGAGAATCTTACAAGTATGTGTATGCCTTTTATTGTGAGTGTTAACTTTAAGTAGTGGTGTGGCAGTCTTTCACCAAATTTATCAGAACTTTGAACATGGTTCACATATCTAATATGAAATTTGATTATGGACTATGTATGCACACGCAGTTACACTAATATAATGAAGCCATGGCCTACTTTCTTTGACAAAACTTCAACACTGTTCCTCATCCCATCTTCATAATGCTCGCATGCAAATGGTAGGTCTGGAATAATTAAGACTAGTACATTGATGTTGAGTTTGCCTTCTTATTTGCAAGTGTTGTGTCCTCAGAACAGAACCATGGTTTGGTTTCTGGAGGAGTATATGATTTTGGAATAATTTCATATGTTTAAAATCTTTATTTATATATAAGCTTGAATTCAGGATATATTGGACTGAGAATTGAAGATTACTCTTTCGAGTTACTTGAATTTTGGAGTTTTAGTCTCTATTGTATCAGACAGACTATGTTCAGTATATAAACTTAGCATTTCTATCTAAATATGCTCAATATTCTTGAATCTTTATGACAAATGAAGTTCCACTGTGGATCATAAATAGGTCAAATCTAGTAAACGTGTGCACTATTAAAATGCATAGTACATCTGCCAAATTTTGGATGCTTGTACTGAAATCATGTCAGAAAAAACATGTTGAATGTATCAAGTTCAATCAACATTCTCTAACAGCTAATGCTTTTATTGCAACATCATTTTCAAAATCACAGTTTTTCTTTTCTTTTTATACGGGTAAAACACAAGATTATGAAGTGTTTGATAATGTCTTGAATGTTACCCTTCTTCTTCAACACTAAACTGCTCAAGAAATCTCACTATTTCCAGGGAGACATTTATGGCACACACGTGACCCTCTCACCCAAATTCAATACCTAAAAATGGGGAACCTGCATTTACCTAACCACAAAAATAAAGCCAAAGAAAAAATTGAAATAGTCAAAATCTGCACCAATTGCATCCTCTGCCAAACGTTGTCATCAAATTCCCTAATCTCCACTATTCCTTGTTTCTACATACATGATTGTGATGGCTCACACGGTTTTGGTCTACCCCATGAATGTGTTCCTCTTTTCAACTATTGTTGTTATTATATTACACCATCAATATCCCTATTTTCTTTATGACTTTAATTATATTTACCTACATGCAATTTTCTCCCTTCCCTGTTAATGGATTGAATTTGAAATCATGGTAGCAGGAATTTGTCAATTAAGTTGACTTGGAGCAACACTGCAAACTAAGTTGCATTGACAATCAAATTCACGTGTGCCTGTATCCACCTGGCTCCCCTATATCTTCATCATCCTCCTCCTACGCCACATAATGAAGCAACTTTTTGTTTGCTTTCACTCTGTTATTCCAAATATCCCATCATGATCATATGTTTAAATAATTTACATCATTAGTACCATATTTCTTATTTCACAATTTACCTTTGTAGATCTTTCCTATGCATTTAAATCACACCTATTATAATAGCCATAAATTACACATAATATATAAATAACTTATAAATATTTAATTTTTAAGATGATTAATCTTTAACACAAGATATATTACAGATATGACATTAATTAGATATTCATCTTAAAAATAATTATATATCTAATTTAATTCTACACTATTTATACAGTATAATATTATCATATTCATAATGGATATAATATTTTATCACATTTTCTCATTTTAAAAAAAGTTTTCATCACATCTTCTTATTTAAAAATGATTTTTTAATAGTTCCGTGTTATTAGAGTTGAATATGATATTATTTTAAAAATTAGGAGATTATTGATTTAACTTTATAAAATTAATTTGGTAAAATGAGATTTAAACCTTATAATTCATATAGTGGATGGGTTACAAATTTTAATTTATTTTTAATTATTGAAATAAGCTTCAAAGCATGCTGTATAAGAGTTAAAATAAAGGTCATATACCTCACTCCTAATTTTACCTATCAAACAAAACAACTTATTTAATTACTTCGTAATTTTATTTAATTAAAATAAGGACAATTATTTTATTATTTTATACCATTTTTATTATAATTTATTTGTTTTTACACTTTTTATCTTCAATATTTTAATAATAAGACTCTCACGTTTACAAATAATTATTTTCACTGTTTATTTTAATTACCATTACAACAAGAATTTAAAATTAGGAAAAAACATATATTTATAACTACCTAAAAATATATTTTAAAACAATAAATTTTCTGTAAAAGAAAACTAGTTCTAATAACTACTTTTTTCAAATACTTTCATGTCTCTTCATTAGACAAACAAATTTTCTGAGCATTTTTTTTTTAATTTAAGTTTCCTTGGTTACCAACTTATAATATATATATATATATATATATATATATATATATATATATATATTACCTTAGAGGTGGAAAAGGTTATTGTCATATTTTACCTAAAAAAATTCCTATATATTGTATTTTTGTTTTAAAAAATTGGATGTGTAAAACTTATTTTTATCTTCAAATTTTCGTCCTTCTAATTTTAAATGGAAACCAGATGTTTTCTATTCAATTTAATGGGTGTATAATATTTCAGAAAATTAGTTTAATTGATTTATGAAAGAAAAAAAAACGAATACTGGTTTTTATCCCGTTCCCAAGAGTTGCTCGAAATATTACTATTAGCTAATTAATTTTATTCTGAAATAAGTATAAATTTAAAATCTTATACAAGGGTTAAAGAAATTATAATTTAAGAGAAAATATTATTTGACCAATTTATCCTTCTTTATACTATTAATACTTTACATCTTACAAAATAAATTAAATGTTACCAAACACCAATTTAGAATATTCTTAAGGATGTTTGAGAACTATAATTCTTTTTAAAATAATGACTGTTAGGTCATTAAAATATTGTAAAAAAGTGGCATGTAATTTTAAAATTACTAAACTGTACAACTCATTTGAAAATGCAGAAAATTATAATAATTTCTATTTCATAAGAAAAAGGGTCTAAATTTATTAAGAGTTTATCATCATCATCATCCACTGATATCACAAGCCTAATCAAATTACACATTAATTGTAAAATAGTTGGATTAAAAGGAGGGGTAACCCTTTTCAAGTGTTGGGTTAACAACAAGATTTGAATAGATTAATGAATTAATGAACTAATAAAAGCATTAGGGTTCATGCGTTTACCCAATTTTTTAATCTTGTGATGAAATTGATCACCTAACGTCCTAACTATCTTGGCCTCCTATCAGATTTCAGCACAAAGTAAATGTCTTTCCTTAACTTGTCTTCACTATGCACATAAATTATTCACCATAACCCTTAAACAAAATTAATGAATATAATGACTCATAGTTTTGTTCCAAATAAAGGTCATTCAAGAAAATTCCTATGGATGCCAGCTTATGAACAACCAATGTGAATACAATTAAAAAGCAAAGGGGTGTGAGAGAAAGAGACTATATTTTGCTAGTTTTGGGCAAAGCATATGAACAAAAGTGCATTAGTTTGTGACAAAGATAATAACAAAACATAGAATAAAATAAATGAATTAATAGAGGGGAGAAAGATCTTTCCACAAGTGGACAAAAAACTAAAATAAATGCCTATGTCATCTCTCATCACCACTGTGTTCATTTGAAACTGGCCTCTTCTGTAATTATTGTTCTTTTTCATCACAAATTAATGTGAAAGACTAATAATAATACTAATAACTGTGTTAGCAACACCTTTTTTATATATATGTTAATCCTAGAATTTCATGGTTGATTTTAGTAGAACTTATTATAGTGTTGAGATTGACACAAAATTATTTTACTTTAATCAAAACCCAGATTAGTAATTCAGGAAAAGATTAATATAAAAAAATATTATTTTTAGAATTAGAATTCAAGAAAGTGAAAATTTGATACCAATATAATGATTATAAAAGAAAAAACTTTTTCATCCATAATCATCTTACAACTAGAACTAAATATCTATGATAAAGTAAAAAAAATCTAAATTTATGATGAATAATTAGGGAGTTGGCACATGAAGTATTTATTTAGTATTTCTCATAATCTGACATGAATGGTGAAGAGATGAAGAAAAGCAAGTTCATTGGAATGAAGAGGGTGAAATGAAGGAGTTGGCAGAGATTGGTTTGTGCACGTCATCATTGATTGAGTGGAGACACAGAACTTAATGACCATCTTACCCTCCTTCCATACAAACATTTACATGTTGACTTACCCACTTGTGATCCCTCTCCCATTTATATATACTCCTTTCTTCTCCTCCTTCCTTTATTATACTCCTTCAACTTTCTCTTTCTCTTTCTCTTTCTCTTTCTTCTATCCACACCTTCATTCAAACAAAAATATGAGCAACATAAGCATGGTAGAGGCAAAGTTGCCACCAGGGTTCAGGTTTCATCCAAGAGATGAAGAACTTGTGTGTGATTACTTGATGAAGAAGGTGACACACAATGATTCCCTTCTCATGATAGATGTTGACCTTAACAAGTGTGAACCGTGGGACATTCCTGGTATGTATTCTTATATATATCATGCATTTTCTGATATAGAAACTAATTAGTGTTTTCACTTGTTGATTTATTCATATGTTCTTATATACACATGCCATGTTTCTTGCTTTCTCTGTGTGTGATCATTGCAGTTTTGACAATTCATTGTTTAGTTTTCTTCTCATAAATGAAACTTTGAAAAAGATTCTGCTTGTGCCAGAAATTTTGTCTAGTTTCTTCATCTCTCACACTCAAGGCCAAAACCACTCTACATGATACTAATAATCATGCTGCATGCTTGATATCCATTCCAGTTTCCTACTACAGTTGATGAAGTACATAATGAGTTGTTGCTTTCATTTGTTTGAATTCTTGTTGATACAAAACATGATGAGGGTGAATTGATTATGTGGGGTGAGGGGACGATAGCAACCGCAATGGCTGTTATAGATCCCAATCTGTACATGCACTTGTGAGTGTGCTTTGATGAGAAATGATGTATACCTGCCATCTGTGACTACTGAGAGATTATAGAATAACTCTAATTGTTGCACATCAATTCATCAGAAAATTGATTAAATTAACTGTCTTGGGTATCTATCTATCTATCTATCTATCTATCATATATATATATATATATATATATATATATATATATATATATATATATATATATATATATGCAGTTCACAAAGTTCTGACCCTTCAATTCACACTGATCTTGATATGATATTATGAGTCCGTTGCTTTATACATGCCAATTAATGAAAAAACAAGATCAAAACTTTTATTCTTTCATCTCTTTTTCTTTCTCATCAGTAATCATCTGTGATGTATGATTTATATTAATTGAATATTTTTCTTCCTTGTTGAATAATTAAAAAAGATAAAGTCACTATTTTTAGTTTACATTTTCATGTGGGTCATAACTATAATTCCAACCCCAGCCACATTCACACAGATAGGTACAGTACAGGTGGCTGCATATTATTATAAAAGTAAAGATAAATATATTGAAGAAATTGATATATAATTTTTATTTAATAAAAAAAATGAACTTGTCTTCTGATAATTATTAATGGTATATATGAAATGTTCATATAGAATTGTGGATACAGTGCAGACTCATTGAAAGGGATCGACAGAGTTAGGTTGGAAACTTTGAATGGGAAGCTCTAAAAATCATATATTTGCATGTATAAAGTTATATGCAATAATATTTATCCAAGGGTTTTATGCAAGATAAACATCACCTTCATAGTTTTTTTTTTTTTTTCAGTTTCGAAAAAATTGACTCATTGAATTTTGTCCTTATTATGAAGTGTTTGACAGTGATTTTTTTCACCACAAAAGTTATTCAAATATTAATTTTCATTGCAACAACACACCTGCACGCACATGAACATCATCTCCTTACATGTCATGTTAAAGTGATTGAACTCTCAAGCCGTATCACTATTCTAGCTGGATCTCACCATGTTCATTGTACTTTCATGTCAAAACACAAATATACTGTCAGATTTGACTTATCATAAGCAACACAGTTAAATTTACATTTTCTCTTTAACCTTCTTGTCCTATTTGTTTATCTTTTTCCTTGATTAGTTTTTATCTTCAAGGAGAAACAATGATTTATTTTCTTCTTAATATTTAAGAAAATTACTTAAAAAACATCTGTGTATTTATTTATTTTGGTAGTACATGTATAATTATTGAGATGCTTAATTAGTAACATATTTTTTATGAACAAGGACAAAAGAGATTTCTGGGCCTGATATGATGGGTCAACATTGCTTTGGTGTGCTAGGCCATGTGTTCATAGTTTACATTATTTTAGAAATAATACCAACTGTTTGATTATGAAATCAACATAATTAGTTTTGTATTTTATATAAGCATGTCATGTATGAAAAGCAACTGATAAGGATAGGCAAATGAGAAGAAACAAGAGCAATTAATGGAAGAATTAAGCTACTGATAAATAGGGCCCTATCCTAATAGTAACCAGAATAATTTGCATTCAAATAATCATATAATTGTTTCCCATCAAGAACTATTTGGTTTCTGTATCTTTCTTTAAACTGTATTCTGATTCTAAATTTAACTTCTATTTCCTTCTTCTTCCACAATCAAAATTTTCAATTCTTCTAATAAGACAAAGTAAAGAAAACCATGTACATTTGATTTTAGGACTATGTTAAACAAAAAGATAATATTGTTAATGTGAACAATTGTTTTTAACTAATCATAGTTGACTTGAGCACACGACACACCTTATAGGCCTAACTGCACATGTTCTCATCTTACTGAAATCAAGAGATTATACATCACAGAAAAATATAAACAACACCCTTTTTTTCTATATATTTGAATCATTTTTTTTTTCTGCAACTTACATAGTACTAATGTAATATGGTTGACATTCACAATTGGTTTTAACTAGTCATAGTTGACTTCTTTAACACAAAACATATATACAACGTTTGTATCATTATTTTGGCAATGATGTTCTTAGATGGTTAATAATAACAATACTGTGTTGTAATGGTTATGCAGAAACAGCATGTGTGGGAGGGAAAGAGTGGTATTTCTATACACAAAGAGACAGAAAGTATGCAACAGGGCTACGCACAAATCGTGCCACTGCCTCAGGGTATTGGAAGGCCACAGGGAAGGACAGGCCTATCCTTCGCAAGGGTACCCTTGTTGGTATGAGGAAGACTTTGGTGTTCTATCAAGGAAGGGCACCCAAAGGGAGAAAAACTGAATGGGTCATGCATGAGTTTCGCATTGAAGGTCCCCATGGACCCCCTAAAATTTCTTCTTCCAAGGTACATATACCCTAATGGAATAAGTGTAAGATTATCAACTAATTATATATATATATATATATTATCATTGATATGGCCTTTAACATAGTTATGATAAAGGGTAACCAACTTAGTATAGAATGTACTCTAGTTTATGATTAGAAAACATTGATTATTTATCATCTAAAGTATTTTATGTTTTGTTGTGACAACATTTTATTCTTTTTAGTATTGGACCAAAATGAGTAAGTAATGGGAAATTTGTTTTTCCATTAACCACTTTGAATGGTCAATATATACATAGATTATTACTTTATACATAGACTTTTGGCATTAGCCTTGTTTGGTTTCCTTTGCATGCATCAGGGAGGCAGCTAGTGATTTGCAATAAAAAATTAAGGACTTTTGACTTTCTTGAATATGTTTTTGCTCTGTGCCAAAACCAAATTTTGTCTCACTTGGTTATTGGCTACAATGTGACTACATAAGATATATGGGGTAGCTGACCTAAGAAGATCCTATTTGATTTTTTTTATTCAACTCTTATGTAAGCCTCTGAAAACACCAAATTCTTCCATGTGGAAGTTTTTTTTTTGGGGTTTGTGTTGATAGCAGCCATAGTATATTTTATAGAATCAATCATATTGCTTTTATTTCACTTTCTTAACTTTTCTGTTTAACATAAAAAATGTACATGCAGGAAGACTGGGTTTTGTGTAGGGTGTTCTATAAGAACAGAGAAGTTTCAGCCAAACCTAACATGGGTAGCTGCTACGAAGACACAGGCTCTTCATCTCTTCCTGCATTAATGGACTCTTACATAAGTTTTGATCAAACTCAAGCTCATGCAGATGAGTTTGAGCAAGTGCCCTGCTTCTCCATTTTTTCTCAGAACCAAGCAATCCCCATTTTCAACCACATGACAACATCCATGGAGCCTAAATTACCTGCAACTACATATGGAGGAGCACCAAATTTAGGTTATCGCTTAGACCCTTTATCCTGTGACAGAAAAGTGTTGAAAGCTGTTTTGAATCAGATCACAAAGATGGAAAGGAATCCTCTGAACCATAGTCTTAAAGGTTCACCACCAAGCTTAGGTGAGGGAAGCTCAGAGAGTTACTTATCTGAAGTGGGGATGCCTCACCTGTGGAACAATTACTGATGTGGGACTTCACTCCTTAAACCTTCTTCTCTCATGCCAACATGGGAAAGAAAAATTAAAAAAAAAAAAAAAGATGAAATTAATCCATTGTTTGAAGTGATGGTGAGTGCCTATGTTTTTTCTTTTATATTTGGTGTTTAGCTATTAATATATATATATATATATACATCCATCCGTGATGTGTCCCAATATATTAGGAAAATGGGACTTGTAATTCAAACTTATTAATATTTGTAGTTAATTTTAGTTAGTGGATGATTTTTTTTTTCTCTTCTTCCTAAATTAGATCTTTGGGTTAACCTAGTTGATATATTTTTAAACCTTTTATATTTTTATGAAGAAGAAATGTTTCCAAGACAATCTTATTTAGTTTTGTATTGTTTGGTATGAAAATGAATGATGATTTATAAAAATTGTAAAATTTTTAAGAATTAAACTGACAGTATTTTTTTATACCATGGCTATGATAACACAAGTTTATTCAAATCAAATATAAATATTAAAATTTTAACATAAAATTAAGTAGTAATATATGAAATAGTTTAACGGTATTTAAATCATAATAATATAAAAACACATTTCCATCAACAAAATTAATTAAACCAGACATATGTTATTTTTAATTCACAACAAATGATAACTCTTGATGAAAAAAAAAAGCAAAACAAAATTAAGCTTTCATGTACCCACAAAATGACAATTTTTGACTGAAAAAAATTAAGAAAAAAAAGTTAAATTTCTTACACTATATTAAAGTTTTAATATAAAATCAATTAACAATATTTCAATTATATATAATGAAACTTCTAATAATAAATGTTAAACCCTATAATATTAAAATAAATTAATATTAATAAACTAAATATTAGAAACATTATCACACCAAATTTTGCAAACCTATCAAAGAAACCAATTACACATATTGTTGAAAGAGTTGCTATCATTTGTCATGTAAGTCACATTTTAATGGACCAAAATATATTATAAATATTCTTATAAAAATCTTCTTCACAACCACCACAATAATGTAATAGGGAAATGGATAAAGAGTGAAATAAATATTTTTTGTGTTCAAATACTAAATCTTTGATGTAATTGTCTATTCATAACAGTCTTATAACGAAAATAAATAATTAATGAACCGATGTGATGTTCTACATCAAGGTTTTATACATAGTTTTATCATTTAAACTAATAGAAAACTATTAAATTTAATAATAAATTTCATATTTTTATAACTATTATTATTAATATAAAATATCAATCAATATTATCAATAATTAATCATTTTGTGAACCATGTTGTTTTTAATGCAAAAGTCAAACATAAAATTATACTAAAAATATTAAGTATATTAAACTTAAAGTCAAAGTAATTTATATATATTTTCTTATTTTAACTCATTAAAATGGTTTTTTTAGATAAAATTTCGAAGAATCCGAATTTAATTTATTAAAATGTTTTTTTAAGAGTAAAACAGTGACTAATATGAATTCAACTCTAAAATATAAAAATATTTTTAATTATCAAGTCTAACAACATTTAATGAGGTAGATATTTTGCTTCAACCATAATATTGTCTTGTAATGTTTTAATCCCTAGCAATAATTTAGTTTTGAATGTTATTATTAACCTTTTAATTTGTTTAGGTGAAAAAGTGTGTATAAAGTGCAATGTCAAACACATTAAAACAAAGCAAAATTAATAATCTGGAAACTGTCCCTTTGGTGGGACTATTTAATTGGAAGAGACAATTACAATGAGAGGAGACTAAATCACCATGACCTCACCTTAAGATTCGCTGACTTCTTTGCTGTTTCATTTTCATTTTTCTCCCCATTTTTTTAACTAGGGTTTTCATCTGCTGTAGACGGACCCACATTACCTAACATATCATATTTTGTATATGATTACACTTAATTTGCATTAAAACATCACATTTATCATTTCATTAAATAACATGTATTAATAAATATTATGTAAATATTAAAAAAAATATTAATGTACCGTACTTTTTTATATATTATGTAAACTATAAATAGTGTTTTATAATAAAGGGATATTCTACAAAGATAAAGATGTATTAATAAAAGAAATTATATAATCAATTTTAGGAATAATAATATGGTAACGTTATCATGTATGTTATTATCAGTTTTATCTATTTGCTTCATATTTATTACATATAATATTATTATGATTAATTATCCTTAATGTTTAAGTTAGTGTGTATTTTCAAATTTTAATTTGTCCCAATTTTGTTCTTAAAATATATTTTAATAGATCAAGAGAAAAATGTGTATATAAATAACTTTAGTTTCTATTATGATGATATATAACTCATAAGACGTATCTAGTAGATATAGTAGAGTGTTCCAATTTTATATCTATTATGATAATATCTATAAGATTAATTATCACTTATGAAATATTGTTTACTTTCAAACTTTAATTTTTGTCACAAATTTGAAAATTAAATTGATTCGACTGGTTCAATAGATTAAACTGGAAATTAACCGATTTTAATAAAAAAATCAAACTTTTTAATATAATTATTTTTTTATTTCATATTAATTACGGTTAACTTTAAATAATAGTTATTTTATTATATTTTTATCTTATTTTAATAATTATTCATCTTATACTCTTGTGAGTCTCTCCTTAATATATATCTCTCAAACTCACAAGTGATTATTTTATATACCATTGTTTACATTAAGATTTAGCACAAATTATTAAATAAATTTAAATTGAAAAATATTAGAAATAAAACACCTATCCTAGAAAGGGAATTCACCCAAATAAACACATTCATGAATATAATAATTATAAAAAAAAAATTGTTAAGAACTCACGTGCTTGTTCTACAAATGTTGTACGAGGTATGAAATAGGATAAGCCAAGAATTCAAAGTATTTATACAGAGTAATTGTTGTGCAAGTCAGAGTTATTAAAGTATTTATTTATTACTACCACCGACAATTTAGACTATAAACTTTTTTTTTAATAATAATATCCAATTAATCACCTTGATCATTAATTTATATTTTTCAATAAAAAATAAATAACTCAAGTCAATTAATCATCTAAAGTGGTTTCAATTTTCAAAGAGTTTTAAGAATCAAGTGGATCATATTCCATGTGAGGTGATAACGCAATAAATGTTAAGATCTCAAGTTATGTTCGAATTTGAATTTTATAAATAAAAAATGTTGTCAAAATTATAAATTTATTAAATTACTGAGTTAGATTTTCAATAAAATTAGTAATCCATGATAAATACATATTCATTAAACTTATAATAATTATTTTTAATATAATTGTTTATTTGATGAATGAATAGAATCTATATCTTAAATAAAGAAAGTGAATAAATTACTTTTTAGAAACAATATATTACACAAACATATATAAATTTTAAAAAATATAATTATTTTTACTAAAATATATATTTTTAAAAAAATGCTAAGAAAGTCACCAAAACTTAAGTTAGAAATTATTTTCAAAGTTTTTCTATTGAAATTGTAGATTTTTTTAAAATTTAAATTTATGAAAAGGTACTTTAGCTTTACACTCCTTTAATATAAGGTATAGTTTAGAAGAAATTGATAATTTTTTAATGATTTTTGTAAGTAAAAGAAAATCAGTGATTATATATTATTTGAAGAATTAAATTTGTTGTTCAAATTTCAATAAGATAATATAATGTAAAAAAAAAGATAAATTACATTAAATTAATGAATTACCCTATATTTATAATTACGTGGATGTCTAAATGTTAAAAATAAAAGAGATGACGTAAATATTTCGGTTTATAAAAACAGATAATAAAAAGTAAAATACAAAAATTGAAATTTGATAATAAAATATGAATAATATATTGATGGTTAATAATAATTGAATCATAAAATATGTAATTGAATTTGTTTTTATATATTACTACAACTAATTAATAATAATAATTTATCCATAGAAAAATCAATTAAACCAAATTTAAACAAAACAAGAACAACTTTTTATATATGTAGATAAAATGTCATTTATCAAAAATCAATAATAAATTTAAAATAAATATTAACAACAAATTTTTTAATAAGTATTTTTAAAATTTTGATATTCATATGTGTGATATATTACTTTGTTTTTTTTTTTGGTCAAATATCATTTATCAAAATTATTACAAATAATTTTTATTTCTTTTGTTTTTCGAATAAACAAAAATAACCATTGCTTTCAGAATCCACAGAACAATACTTGACCATGCTTGGGTGGAATGGATGAGTGTTAGGTAGAAACTCCCTCAACACTGTTTTATGTTTCATACTTCACTTTGGTTTCTTTTATAAAAAATATAAATATAAACCATAATTCAAAACGTGACTTTCACTTTCACAATTTAAAAAATCTTGTGATATTTTATTTTTGTAAAAATGCTAATAAATTATTTTTATCCCACGAAGAAAAATTCTTGAAAGTTTATCCGTATAGATAAAGTGAACCTACCAATTTATGACTCACAATTTATCTCTGACAATATTAGTTAAATTTTACTAGAAACATTATTAATAAAAAAATAAACTTAACAAAAAAATTTACATTGTTATATATATATATATATATATATATATATATATATATATATATATATATATATATATATATATATATATATATAAGACATCACTATCTTTACATTTTATTAATAACTGAAATAAAAATATTGATGTTCATTTTATAAAAATTTTAACAATATTTTACAAGGATATTTTGATGAAACGATGTAAAAAATTATATCTGACATAAGCATTTCACTGATATAATTTTTTGTTTAAATTCGATAAAAAATAATTAATATAAAAAAATTGGATTATGATATTTGTTTAAACAAATTTCTTGATAAAGACTCGTAAAAGAGAAAAAAAAATATATATATATATATATATATATATATATATAATTGAATTAGAATTAATCAATGATTATTAAAATGGGAATGAAAT